GGGTAATTAACTATAGGGGCTTGCGCCTATAGGAAACAAGAACTCATATCATAAAGTCCACGCAAAATGAGCGCGAAATCTCTGGGTAGTGTCTTATCTACAAACCCATCTGCCTTCCAAAATTTACCCCGGAACCTAATCCGTTAAAACTCCCCTCGCCGAATAAAAAGAAAAAGAAAGCGCGGCGGGGAGGCCGGGGCCGAATTTTCGGAGCCCACAATGACTCAATCTAACAAAGACGAAGGCAACAATTAGCAAGCGCGACGCTGTGCAAAATTCCCAAACAATATTCGCTAGTAAAATAGATTGTCGTTGTGCTTGAAACATCGAGATTGTCAAGATGGGATTCCCCATGTTTAATTCAAGCAAACCTGAGCAAAAAAGATGGAGGGCACAATGTTGTACGAGGTCACCCGAACGACGTCCGTTTGCCAAACGGACTTTGTTGTTATGTCTAGAACGTTAAAATTACCCATTAAAAGACATTGAACGAGTCCATACTCAATTTTTTTCCATACGCAAAGAAATAATGGCATGCAAATCAAGGTGCATGAATAATAAGAAGTTGAAAGAAGGGTCAATTCATATTTCTTTTTTGTTAATTTATAATAACAATATGAATAATAATAAATTGTATTTATATAATTTATAAAAAAAATTATTTCTTACTAACAAATTCCAATCTATCCCCGCTCCTACCCCTACAAATTAGGCAATGCAGCCATCACTTGCCTCTATATCGCTAAAAAATATATAATTAATCATAAGTCTAAAATAGCCAAAATCTCACTAACGAACCCCCTCATCTATCAATTCAATCACAGCCCAGACAAACACATGCTCTTTGTCAGTCTAATTTCCCTTCCCTCTCTAGCAGAAAACCAAACCACTAATCAGCATTCCCCTTCTCAACTCAAGCCCACGACCCAGCTCACAGATCTCTTGTTGAAACTCGTTCACTATGAATTAGGTTGTTAAACCTAAGCTTATGTCCCAAGGCTATCCAAGAGGGGGGGCCTTATACTGTTGCCTATTGATGCTGCACATTAATTGTGCTTTTCACGTGTTTCACACCAGCAACCACTGAACTTTTCATCTTTATTGACTCTATTGAGTTTTCTTTATTCTCATCCATTAGCTCATTGTATTCCAAAGGGAAAGAAACAAAAAAAAACTACAGCAAGATTCCCTTTCTTTTCTTTTTCTCTGCAGCCATCAAGTGGATGTCAGCACTATTTTAGTGCTGTTAGTAAAAAAAAAAGAAGAAGGGGAATATACATGTGGTGGTTGAGATATTGACAGGCGTATATGGATTTAAGATATGCAGCGGGAGCAGTTTTTTTTTTTTTTTCCTTTTATTTATGCAAAGATTTCTACTTGGGATTTCACGAGAAGTCTGAATCCAACAGAGCCCCTGTTTGTCTTTTTCTTTATACATAGCTTTATTCTATAGTTCATTTGACTGAAATTATTTCTCCATTTTATCAAAACAGCACATGAAACTACACAAAATTAGTATAATCCAGTCCACTACACAACCTTTCTAAACCATATACAACAGCTCACTTTGGGACATCAGAACAGCCCATTTTAGAGCATCAAAGCAGCCCACTTTAGAGCATCAAAGCAGCCCACTTCTCCTTTAACTTCACCTCATAATTTCACCTCTTAAGTCCACCTCTAAGGCCCACTACACCATAAAGGTTTCAGCCCAAAAACCTACAGCAACCAGTTTAGGGTAACATGCCATCAATGGGTAAACGCAAAAAGACATCAGTAAATGCAGTATCCTGAAGTCAATTCCAGTCTGTGAAGGAAGACATCTACCTACCTACATGCAGCAGTGGAAGACGCACTGAAAAGACCAAGGACCAAAATCAAATGCATAGAGAATACGACAAGTACAAGTTCTTACGACCCAAGGCAGGAGATTAGTTAGTGCACCACGATCCACCTGCAGAAAGCAACAAATAGTGCACGACAGTCTACCTGTAAGAAGAAGCGAACAATTCTATCCAGAAGCTGCTACGCCACGCCACCGGATCTGCGACATTCGTATAAGCAGACTGAAGGCGTCCATAAACTACAACGCCACGCCACCGGATCTGCAATATTCGTACAAGCAGACAAAAGGCGTCTACAATTATTTCAAAATACCCCTACACGTGCACCATAATTTGTATACACATAGGTACACTAAAAGGGGTAAAAACAATTATAAAACCTGCATGGGCCCCGACGAGCGTATTATAGAAATGCACGTGACGTCCAGGGATGCTGCACGGGTTATCAAATTTTGAACCCGATCCTCCTAAGAAGATAAAAGGAGTGGACAGGGTTCAATTATAAAATGCCCCCAAACACCCGCATGGGCCCCGACGAGCGTGTTATTGGTACACACGTGACGTCTAGGGATGCTGCGCGGGTTGACAAGTGAATTCATGTTCGAAACCGATCCTTCTATAAGGGTCAATAGAAGTCGACAGGGTTCGAACCAACAAACAAATATACGGTTGTGACGACCGTTATATTT